CGAGTTGATAGAGCAAGGGAGTCAATATTTCGTGTCCTATATTTTTATGTCCTGCTTCTCATATTACTCTTTTAAGTCATTTTACTCTTTTTGCATGCTTGCTGAGCTCTTGTCTTTGATTATATATTCTTTTCGATTTAAAAAAATATATCAATCGAAGACAAGAGCTCAGCAAACACGCGAATCCAGCTAGCAAACCAGCAGAAAAAAAAGCATTGTGTGCCGCTGACTTTACTCTTGGAAAATGAAGCCTAGAGGAAGACACGATACATCAACTCGTCTCTTTTCATTAAAAAAAAAGATGTAATATAAGATCTATGCATAATGGATGCATTCCATTTTTCGCATGATACGCATGATGCATCATTTATTCTTGTTATTCAGAAGCAGTTTGCGTGTTAAATAAGGATACGCGTCATGCAAGAAACGAAACGCACCCTGTTGAAATCAGTTTGGAATGTAGTCATGGAAAGACGCCTTTATAACGTTGGCGCTTCTGCGCGACGGACGATGCATTTTCAATTGAAACGTTGGCGCCATTGCTGAAGCAATTAAATTAATACCGAAACGGATATTCAGGGAGATGCGTGAATGAAGGCGCTTTGATGTGGTGTACATGCATATCTAGATAAAAAAATTCCTCATTGAAGAATGAATTTATCACGAGACTCATACGGTTTGCAGCGCAATGGAACGTCGAAGATGTTGATCTACGATGTGCTGCAAAAGAGAAAGGTATATCACACCGTTGTCAGCGATCTCAGAGACTTCGGAGTCAAATATCGCTTCAAAAAGAGCATGCTTAAGTGCGAAACAGTTGAGTGTAAAAATATTTCGAAGAAAATTTTCAAAACACCCCTCTATTATCAACCCTTGGGCATTGTGAGTCTATCATCAGGCGCCATAGTCCATGTACCTGTGTTTGTAATTCAAGCTTCCACATTTCTGGAAGAGCACTTCGCTCAGGAGGGTCTCTTTAGAAAAGCCGGCTCTCAAACAAGACAGAGAGAATTAATGGCCCGTTTAGATAACGGTGGTTGTTTAGGCGAGAAAAATGACGCGGTCGACGTTGCCAATTGCCTGAAGTCCTTTTTCCGTGACTTACCAGAACCATTGATCCCATATACTTATCACGACTTGTTGGTACACTGTGCGTTGCTCAAAAATCATCGGGTACAGGCATTGCTGTTGGCATGTACACTGCTACCACCGCATCATTTGAATACCTTAGCATTTTTTATGGAATTCTTGAAGAAGGTTTCCATGTACGAGAAACTGAACAAGATGAGTGTTGAGAATTTGGCAAAAGTCATTGGACCAAATATCATGCCTCTGCAAGAAACATCCATGTCGGCTGTACGGAATAGATTGGAAATGCATCTAACTATTATTAAGGTTTAATACAAATTTAGTTAGGGAATATCTATTAATTATATAAAAAGGCTAATAATACTGATGACTAAATAATATTGTTACAGATTCTGATTGAAAATTCAGAAAATATTGGTGTCCTACCATCTCATATTGCTCAAAGCATTTCTGCTGAAACAGGTGACAGTACGGACAATGGATTAGATTCGATCGAACTACATAGGAAACATAAAAAGAAACATCGTAGTGGAAGTCTCACGAGTAAGTTATATTCTAATATTTTCAATATTGACTTGAATAAATTTAAAAATTTCTATAAATAAAATATATTTAGATATAATTAATAAAATTTAAAATGCTAAAAAGATTAATAAAATTTAACCATCTAACACATGTTATACATATTAATAAGTGTGATTTATTTTCATTATCTGTAACATTATACAATCAGGATTACATACTTTTATAGGTTCTTATATTTATGTACATATGTAGTATTTCATACACATAATTCCATAGGAATGTTCAATGGTTTGAAGAAAATGGTTGGAAAAGGCACAGATGATACATCTAACATTCTTGCACAACCTCCTGTACATCAATTACAGTCAAATGTGACTTCAAACAGATTTACCAAAAAACGGAAGTAATCAAGAAAGAATATTCTCCAAATATAAAGAAAAAGTAATGAAATTATTTTTTATATTAATAATTTTTATATTAAATTTCTCTTTTGTATATATGTATATTTATTTTATATCTAATTTAAAATAATATTGATAAGAGATTTTACATAGATTTATACAATAATTATATGTTTTAGAAAAATGACTGATAAATTAGACAAAGCGAAGAAACTAAGACTGAGTTTAGACAAATTTGTACCTAGAAACAAACAAGTAAGTATACTTATTTTCATATTTTGATATATAACATAAAAAAATCCATGTAAATCAACAATTCATTTTAGTTAGTAAAAATTATAAAGTTGTAATAATTAAAAAATATTGCGCATATCTTGCATAACAATAATTTCATTCAAAATATTTTCAGAGAAGTATAGATGATAATTTATCAGATTCAGATACAGATACTTACAATGTAGACACAAATGAAAGACATTGGAGTTCAGTAAACAATTCTTTTGATACACCGAAAATATGTGAATGCAAAAAGAAAATATCAGATCTGAAGTATGACGAACAGTTAAATAATGATTTTCACCAGGAATATAACAATGTATTTATTAATGCCGTGGATTTATCTGTTGATGATAATAAACAAGACTTTCTTTTAAAAAGTTGTGGAAGAGATGATCAATGGCGTATAAATATAAGCACAGATTCAAGAAATTTGGATGCTGTAGATGAAAGCTATAACTTGATGCTCGAGGAAAAGACTGATTTGGAAGAATTCAATACATTTCTTCCTAATAGTGACATAATATCTTCATCAAGTGACCACTGTGAAGAAGATTATGTTAGAATCCCAAAGAGTGAATACGAAGATATAAAAAATCGAGTTTCTGCAATTGAATCACGTATTTCTCAAGAATTTGGATGTATATACAACGAGGAAAATAATATAACTACACATTCGCTAAATAATGTACAAACAGCATACGAGAAAACATTAGAAGAGGCTAGTATCGAGAATACATTGACAAACGATTATTTAGCAAAAAGACTGAGCAAAGAATTAAAGATCAGAAGATCGGGAGAACACAAAATAATAAGATCTCCCAGCGCAAGAAAAATTGGATCATTAAGAAGACGTTCACAAGAGAGAACCACAAGGTACAATCAAGTTATATTTATATTTTACAATATTTCTTTAATATAATATAAATAATGACAATTGCATATTTTCAAAATTTTATTAAAGCGTATAGATTTCTATTTAAAAATATAAAATTTATTATATTTGAAATAAAATTAATATAAAAAGATTATAAGAAGCTAATATTTTATAAATCATCTTAATATTTACAGCAAACGTGTTAGAAGAACTGCATCATGGCATACTTCTCCAGAAGTAAACTTACATCACATTCAATTTGAAAGAAATGTCAATATTTATCCTATTGAAAAACAATTTATTTCTTCTAATGAATATTTAGAGGAGCAATCTCATTCTATAGAAAAACATGATGGAATTATTTCCAATGATATGACAAACGAGATAGCCTGTTTACATAATCAAATTAATACAATGATTTCTCATTCAAATAAACGACGCAAACGCAGAATTTCAAATAATAGTGATTTGGATCTTTCTGGATTTAAAGATCTGCATTTAAATAATAGCCATACAAGCAAATCTGTGCGTAGAGCATCATCTTTTCATGGAAAACATTTTGTAGATAATTCATCTTATTTCGATAAAAAGATTGAAGATTTAAAAAAGACAAATAGTCATCAAAATATAATTTTAAACAATGATTATTCACAAAAAGATAAAATTTCTTCCGAGAATTCGAATAAAATATCTTGGAAAGATGCAGATAAATATTTTAAATCAGAGTCCCGAACAAATACACCTGCTCCACAGACAGGCAGAGCATCTGTTGCAAAACTTCGAACGCAAAATGCCGGTATGGTATTAGCCAAAGCGCGATTATTTGATGAAGGTACAACAAGAGCATCAGAATTTACATCGAATAATGTATCAAATAGGAAATATGGTCATGATAATGTAAATAAACATTCTTTGAATGCAACTAAAGAAGTGAATACAAATACGGAACATTTCAAAAAGTCATGTAACAGGGGACAAATCTCTCGAAAGAAGAATTGTCAAGCGTCTCCAAATTCGTTATCGCAAATTAAAACGCAAATAGCAGATACATCATTGAAATTCCAGAAAGAATTCGATGAGCATTATTATTTTACAAAAAAATTTAAACAGCAAAATCTGAAATTTTCGAATAAGGATCCAATTATACATCCAACTTTTACTAAAGATAAAGAGATTAATGTTACACAGAGTACAAAAATTCATCAGAAAGAAAACATTACTCCAAAAGCATCGCCTTTGACGAAGATGTCTGCTAGTATAGTATTAGAAAGTTCAAACAAATCTCCTTATAAATCAGATAGTAATAAAACTCCGCACATTAAGCGAGCGTTAACAGTGAAAACACCAAAAAGTTCCAAAATAGTGCGTAGAGCTCCAGTTGACACGCGTAGAACGCCAATGAAAGCTATGGCACAAATAGGAACCCCGAAACGTCAAAGTCCTAAATGTATCTTGAAAACACGAACTCCGACTATGTCAAGATACAAGCAGAAAGTATAATTATAAATACTATATGTTAGTCTCGTGCATATATTGTTTTAATTGTAAAATTTTTATACATTTTTTTTTATATAATAAGTATATTTTTTGCGGTGTCTTTAATATATATTAGCAAAATATACAGAAGTTATTACAAATAGAAATAACATATTGCAAACAAAAACTGATAATCTATGTGATGCATTTAATATCACATTTGAAAAAGTGATGAAAAATGCTCCTCTGGATTATACATCTCTCTGTAATTTAGCAAGTTTACCTTTTTTAAGGAATAAAACATGCAATTATTATTTGAAATCTCTCTAAAGCAATTTGTTGCATACATAATTGCATATATTTTCATATAAGTTTTCATTTAAATATATAATCATTAAATTTATTGTCATTCAATGACATGTATATTAAATTTTATCAAATCTACATGCAATATTCATATCATTGCTCGTTAATATGTGACATAAATCACTACAATGGACATTTTTTATTTCTGTATGTATAAATTACAAAAAAAAATATTAATTTACATTAGTGTTCAGTTTTTCGTCATATTCTTTCGGCGTTTTTCGCCCACGTCGCTCCCGCTCCTTTTTAAATATTTGCCTATCCTTACTTCGTCAAGGCGAAAAATCATCGAGATCCACGTGTTTAACATTTGCGACAGGTGACTGTCTCGTAACCAATCACGTGGTATCGCTTGTCCTTCGCATGCCGTCTGCTGTCAACGTGACGATTGACGTTTCTCTTCTTGCATTTAATGGCTATGATTACAATTTTAATGAATTGCGATATTCGATTTCGATATCTTCGTTAAAAAAAAAAAAGAAAAAGACAGAAAAGAAAGATACGGGAAAGCTCGTAGCCTTTAAAAACCGTATATATGCGATGGTTCGAAGATTACTGCGATTAGCGATATTGTCGCGACATCAGCGCCATCAGTTAATACCGACTTGGCGCACTGTGTTGCGTGTGTAATATACGTGTGTATACGTTGTACAGCTGTGGAGGTGGTGTATATGGTGGTGTTACGGGATCGTGCGGGGACGTGCGATCTAATAAAAATTCTCCGTGTTATACGTACGCAAGTGTCAGCGATTTCTCCGCTTGGTAAACGCGGGAGGCGTAAGGGCTGAACCTGAGAGCGCACGATACGAAAATGCGGGAGGCCGGGATCATGTTGATAAGCACCGCGCTAACGTGCATCGTTATTGGCAATGCGTACTATCAGAGAAAACAATTCTACCCGACTGTCGTTCACATAACCAAATCCAATCCGAGCATGACCGTGAGTTGAGCCTTTCCGTGGCTGTGACATTTTCTATAAGCCACGTAATGTAATCCACGTAATGTAATGCGTCTATTATTTATCACATATGTATTGCTTTGTACTCAGGTGATCTACACGCAAGGATTCATTCTTGCATTCATGATAAATGCCTTCCTGCGAAAGATTTTTTTCGGCACTCTACGCGCAGCCGAGCTCGAGGTGGGCGATTTTCTTCTCCTAATATTTCTTTATATATTTTTGACTTTTTTTGTAATACTGTCTCATTTGCAGCATCTGGTGGAGAAAGTATGGTACGCTGTGACAGAGACATGCCTGGCGTTTACAGTGTTCAGAGATGACTTCAGTCCTAAGTTCATAGCATTGTTTACTCTCCTCTTGTTCCTAAAGTCGTTTCACTGGCTCGCAGAAGATCGTGTTGATTATGTGAGTTTTATATTGTTCAGTTTATCATATGTCATATGCATTCTATATGATATATCAAATATTTGACAATTTTTATCACATGCTGATATTATTTACATTTGTATGGAAAATGGGAAGAGAATTTAAAAATTATGGTGATATAAGCCAGCATAATCTGATTATGGAAAACATTGAGAAACAAAAGAAATAGCAATGGAAAACATGTGTTGTTATTTTTTAGTGTAAATTAAGCTTTTGATTTATTCTATTGTAAAATTAAATAGAGGACATTTAGAGAACAAAAGTGTCAGTAATTTATTTTTCAAAATTTCTAGTTTATCTCACTATAATGTTCTATTATTTATATAATTGTTTGTATACAATTAAGTAATTTTTTATCTTTTAGATGGAAAGAAGCCCGGTAATAACATGGTTGTTCCATCTCAGAGTTGCTACTTTACTAGGTCTTCTATTTTTCATCAACCTAACAATGATCAATTATGCTTATAATACAACAGCTACTAAAGGTCCCTCTGTACAACTTGTATTTGGCTTTGAATATGCAATTTTGTTGACTGTTGTTTTTAATATTACCGTAAAGTATGTCCTGCATACTATTGATCTACAAAGTGAAACTCCATGGGATAACAAACCAGTGTTCTTATTATACACAGAATTGATTATTGGAATATTAAAGGTAATAAAATCGAGGTGAAAATTTCCAACTTCATGTATTTTAATTTAATCGAGATCTTTCAGGTTTTTCTCTATGTTGCCTTTGTGACCTTAATGATCAAGCTGTTCACATTACCCTTATTTGCATTGCGTCCTATGTATTATACAATGCGAGATTTCAAAAAAGCATTTCACGATATCGTGATGTCTCGAAGAGCCATCAGGAACATGAACACTCTTTATCCAGATGCGACAACTGAAGAATTGGCTGCTGCTGATAATGTCTGTATTATATGCCGGTAAGTGTCGCAATGAATAAAATCATTATGTCATATCTGCAACACGATCTAATGTATCACACTCACTTATACAGAGAGGAGATGGTTACAGCTAGTAAAAAATTACCATGTAATCATATCTTCCATACTGCATGTTTACGTTCTTGGTTCCAACGCCAACAAACATGCCCGACGTGTCGTTTGAATATCCTGAGGCCTACGCCAAATAATGCGCCACCTAGACAACAAAATCCTCCTCAGCCTGGACCGCAAATACCTCCGCAACCTCAGCAAGCACCTGGTGTCAATCCTATTGGTACGATTTTCTGTTATTTTTTAAATTTTACGTATAAGAATGAATGTTATACATTTTTAATATATTTTTATTGTTAAATATAGGTCCACCTTTTCACTTCCCAATATTTTGGGCTGGATTACCAGCTCCAGGAATGCCACAGCAGCAACAGCCGCAACAACCACAGCAACAGCCGCAACAACAACAGCAGCAGCAGCAGCATCAACAGCAATCTCCAAACAATGCTGGAGGTACTTCTCCACCTCAAAATCCAGTACCACCTACTGGAAATATTCCACTTTTTCCGCCGCTATTCCCTACAATAGTACCATTGCCACCTATTCCTGTACCACCCCCAAACTTAATTGAATTGAGCGAAGAAGAACTGAGAGCAATGGAAGGTAATCTGCGACAAGCTGTACAAGCCAGAATACAAACGCTGCAAAGGATTCAACTCTTATTGGATGCGGCAAACGCAATGATGAATCAATATCAAACAGCAGCTGCTACAGCGAAGTAAGTAATAATATTTTATGAGTAATATATATGTATGTAATATTCGTATATATAATATATAAAATATGTGACCTAAAATTATAGCATTCCTGTGAACAATAATTCTGCAAGCAATATCGACAGTACATCGGATATGTCTACAATGTCAAAACCAGGGACGAGCGGTACAATGAACGCAAACACTGAAGTTAGTAGCGATAATTCTCAGGTTAAAGTAGAAACTTCTATTCCAAGTACGTCAAAAGAAACTGCGTCTACAAGTATATTAAAGGAAGACACGTCTACATCTAACGATACGACAGATTTATCTAGAACTGAATCTTCAAGCGAACAGGAAATGTTGCGCAGACGTAGACTACAAAAATTTTCACCTCCACCGACAACAGAATAAATAAAGAACATAAAATTGTGTGATAACTTATGTAACATAATAGTCTTTAACTTGGTTTATTATCGGCCTCAATTAGCGTGAGTGGTCAATAATTGAGGACTGTAAAAACTAAAGTTTGGATTTTGTGATCGATACGAGAGAAAGGGGAGAGAGAGAGAGAGAAAGAGAGAGAGAGAGAGAGAGAGAGAAGCTTAGATGAATGATATTCCATTTGATCAATGGTCAATCCATGAATTTTAAAGATAAGACCATTTATAAAGAAATCTCTAGCGATTGTTAAATCCAGGATTTAGTAATAACCCAGACTGAAAACTCGAGACTCAAATCACTGAAGTTATACTAACAATCATAATCGCAAAAAGAATGATTTTATAGACATAACAATTTTTTGTCTTTCTTTTTGTAAATTATTATCAGAGTATATATTATATAAGTGCAAAAGACGGAAGAAAAGGAACAAGAAATTAAATTTGACATCATAATTTTGAGATTTACATACCTGTTTCTATCTGTATATAATTATAGATTTCCTTGTTTCTTTAAATCTTTATAAATCGTATGAGAATATTTCTTACAAAACTAGGTGAAACTTTAAAATTAATTTGATATTCTTTGCATAAAATATGTTTGAGTACCTTTTTATCTATCCTTAAGCTTTAATATATGGAAATTTCTTATATGTACATTTATAATTATATTATCATGTAAATACGCTATATATATTTTCTTTTTTCAAATCAAGACACCAATATCAGTTAGTAATATAATTAATGGCACAACTGTTTTTGGTAATTAGTATATAATTTATTTATCAATATATGTACATTTTTCTTTTTTAATATCTAATTTACTTATAAAATTTATATATTTAAATAATTATAAAATTAAATAAAATGCAGAAGGACAGTGTCTGAAACGCAAGAATACAGATATTCAATTTAGCTCAATTTGGATAAATTGTTTCCTATGTAAGATAAAGAATTAGATTTTAACACATGCACATATATATATATATATACACACACACACACGCGCGCGCGCACGCACGCGCACATTCGTACAAATATAATTATATATGTATGTATAGCATTTTTCAACTAAAACAAAGACAAATTAATTGAATACAAATAAGTACACTCGATTAAAAAGTAAATTCTCAGAATGTCTAATTGTATGCTGAGATAGAATTTTTACAAGTTTTTGTTAAGTATATTTATGTTTCATTCATAAATTAGTTCAATATAATTTTAGATTGTATCTATAAATTCACATCTAATTTTCTATGAGTATTAATAGCAATGATGCAAAATGAATATTGGAAAAATAACTCATAGTTAAATTAGATATAATGTTATTTTCCAAGTGAATAATTTTCATATTATTTAATGAATATTTAATTAGTTGCAATATGAGATTCCTGCGTTTAATATATTTTAAAACAAGAATAACCAATCTAATAATAAATATGCGATTGAAGTAATTAGAGCAGCGCGCTACGTGATACGGAAGAAAACGTCTTTGACATTTATAGTATACGCCAGGTTTTATTGATCAATCGAAAGATATTTATAACCTCATTTTAACGTCTCAAAAACGTGCACACTCTCCTTCCATTTCATAGAATGGAGTATGCAAACACCGAGATCGATTGTACATTAATATGTAAGAGCAACTTCCTCTATAAACATTGATAACGTTCGATAACATCCACGTAACATCCACATACTCGTATCGCTCGATTGTCAATCGAGTCGATCGATCCGTTTGTCTCCATCCTATGACAACAATTTCGCTCGAATTCGCAGATATTGATACTTTGATGCGCAATCTGTCTACGCAATCATGTTTTTTTTTTTGCAAATTCTCATTCGTGTTATGCTTTTTTTTCCGCATGACATTTATTTCACGTGTCTTCTTTATATCTGACCGAGATGTCACCTATATTGCATACGCGCAGTGTATCTTTCCAGCAGAATTATCATTGGGGAACAACGGGGAAAAGAAAACGTTATATAAACGACTGATGCCGCGTACTGAGTTGCAGAAAAATTCGAAGAGGAATGCGACGTGCCGATCGCGTGCGCGCCATTTTTTTTTTTTCACGTCGTTATCGAACCGTATCGCCGATGTTGTATTTTAAGAGGCCAATCATCTTGTTCTCAACGGAGAGGGGACGAATTATCATCTGATGTTATTTGAGAAAGAAAAAAATTCCAAGTTCGCTCCGGAGATTAAATAAATTTTTTTATTGACGTGTTCAAATGTGTGCGCGCGCGCGTTATCACACACACACACACACACACACACATGCGCGTGCATACGTACATCACGCATGCACACGTAGAGTATTGTAATATTTAATAATATTAATTTCCGAGTCGTCGCTTGGAGAAGAATCGCCCGGACATCTTCGGACCGTGACGTCTCGTAAACTGTAGTAACATAACTGTAGTAACATAAAGAATCCGAAATTTCGATTTATTTTCTTCGCTATACGACATAATGTAGCCAAATCGGTCGTATTGAAAATAAAAATGGGTCAGCACGTCATACGTGCGCGAGACCGTATATCTTGAGCGGTTTATGATGGGAAGTAGGCCCCATATCATCGTGACTGACTGCCGCCACTGAAATCGACTGACGAAATCGAGTTGGAGGGGATAACGTTCGATGGAGGGGATGGCTCGCGAGCCAGCCCTGTCATAAATCAAGAAATCCAAATCGGATTCTGGAGAGGACGCAGCGGAGAGAGGAAAGACCGCGGTGGCTTTGTCGTCACATAAAGAAAAAGCGTTTATGAAAATCTCGTGGAGTGCAGTCTCATATGATACATTTTATCCAAGGAATATCTCGAGAACGTTCTTTTATCCTTAAGATGTCCTCTAGACGTTTTTAGAACATCCCTTGGAGGTCTCGTTGTAAGTCGTACGAACCAAATTGGCACGAAATACTTTACGATGCTTGATTCTCGGGGATTGCTGCCATCGTTGTTGCCGTGCGCGATTCAACACGTTCGACGATTCTGAGTCTTCTCGTTAGAACCCCCCGCGCGAAATCAACGAGAAGAGAGAGATAAAAGGAGAAAGGAATAGGAGCGAAGAAAGGCGTCGTCGCGGGTCTCGTTCGAATCTCGCGTCGCGCGTCCTTGCGTAGCGCGCGGCGAACCCCGTGGCGCGTTGTTATGATCCAGCATGGGAGAACGTAGTGTTGTGGCTGCTCAGTTTCTATGTCAGTTTTGGAGTGAGGCAGTTCGAGAGGAAACGATGTGAGCGTGGCGATGTGAGGCGACTGTCACGGGTATTCGTGTGAGATAATCGTGTTCGTATGAGCGTCCGCTGAAGCGACTACCAAGTACCAGTACGAGATCTCGTTTATTGCCGCCGCCGTCGCTACCGCCGTCATTGTCGTTGTCGCCGCGGAAAGAAGACAACGTACACAACGGGACTGAGGAATCGCACGCGCCACCAACGTTTGGCGTTTTGGAATACCCTCGTCTCGACCGCCGTGACGCGTGAGATTCGCGGGCACGCTGAACTTTTCCCGCGCGTGATCTGCCTCCTAGGCAGGGATTTCTTCCGCGGAGGATCGTGTCGATGAGCCATCCGACGAACGACACGTTGATTTACGTGGACTGACCGCATTGATTGTGACGCCGTAGAGAGAGAAGCCGGCGTAACGCAGTATGTTCGTCCATGACACGCGTCCATTGCCACTCGTCAAATCTGTCATTTTCACGCGTATCTTTATCGTGATCATCGATCGATCGCTGCAAAGCTCGATTGCTGTATAATTGATACATGTTACGGGTCCCCATACAAAGAGCGGACATTTCTAGCTGGACATCGCTTTCAAAGCAGAATACGTGCCTTTCGGTAGAAAGAGAAAAAGAGAGAGGGAGAAGATGCTGACACGGTTTATACCATACATATAACGCAATAACAGTAAATCTTGATGAGCTCCACGGGTATGTGGATGTCTAACATATCTAGGTTTCTGTGTGTTACTCCAACAAATATTTGAAAATTCATTCATAGAGAAGATAACTGTTGACGAAAAAGTCATACGAAGATCAAGCAAACCCAGAAAGCATACGGAGTTGGTGATACGGGAGAGAGTGCACTAATTAGTTTTACAATATGACGGATACACGTAGAAGAGTAAAGTTGTGTACTGCTCTTAATACAGATAAGCAATGGAATGATTATGGTACAGGTCACATTTCTTCTGATTATGTAGAGAGATTAAAGGCAATTGTTCTCATAGTAAGAGCCGAGAATGATGGCTCTCTCTTATTGGAGAGCAAGATACAACCTGATATAGCATATCAGAAACAACAGGTATTAAGGAACTTTCATAAATTTGCTTTCCTTTGCAAAAATCTATGAATTTTTCAAAAATAATGCAATAATTGAAAAAATTAGATGTTACTCGCAACATAAAAATTTTATATTAAGTTTTGTAATCTAATTATGAACAATGAGATATAGGAAATTAATATATTTCTTTAATATTATAAAATTTTAATATTATAAAATTTTTTTATTATGAAATTTGATTAAAATAAAGATCAATTTTTAATATTTCTGATTATTTACATGTGAAATATTTAAAGTTTTTATTTTATAAAACAAATATTTTTTATTATTGTACATCGAATAATTTACATGGCATGAAATGTATATATATATACAGTGTGTATATGATTTTAGGATACTTCAATAGTATGGTCGGAAGGAAATAATTTCAACTTGGCCCTGATTTTTCAAGAAAAAGCTGACTGTGACGAATTATGGGAAAAGATATGTCAAGTTCAAGGAAAAAATCCATCTGTAGAAATCACACAGGACATTGTAGAAGAATCGGAAGATGAGCGATTTAATGATATATCAGGTGCAGCACTACCCATCGAACCTTCATGTGAATCTCGATTGGAAGATATTAATGCGCTCATAAAGAATTGTTTAACGTTTGTTTAACGTTTTCAATGAGAAAAGAAAAGTTAGCAGTGGAATCCGACTAGACTAGAATCCGAGGGTTACATTAAGAGTTACATTAACATCACCTTGACGATTTAAAAACATCGATTTTTTTGTGCTAAAAAAATTCCTTAAAGTTTTAAAAATAAAATACAGTTGATTCTATATATGAAAGGAATAATTCTTTTCCCCCCTTTTTTTTTAAGTTTCCTTCGGCGCTTCGAATAAGCGCGCAGCGAAGGAGCAGGTATACGTTTTGGAGCTCTTTAGGTAATGTTTTCAATTACCTGACAAGTTGTAAAAAAAATATGAAGAAATTGGCCAATTGTAAGAAATTTAAAAAAGACAAAGATAGGACTTTGCGGAAAAGGAAAATTAACGGACAAACTTATTGACGAATTGTCTCTCTATTATGTATTAGCCATTCGTCGAAATAGTGATTCTATTGAGAAAATGCAAAATGACATCTGGGCAACGTTATACTATAAAATGTCGACAGAAAAGCTGCAGCATGATAAGTGCCTGAACGGATTAAGTGCACATGATGCTCTTGCCAAAGGCAAAGATTGCATACTTTAATTTATATGCACATAAACCGGTTAATGTCTGACGAAGTTTTCAACGCAATTAAGT